AGTCCGAGCAAGCCGGTCACCCAAACATGCCGCCGTGCGTTGCATGAAAGCGTCGCCTTAGCATGCTCCTCTTCAAACTTCGAACCCGATTCGGATGCGTGGCGTTTATCAGCTTTATGTTTGTCACGGCATCGCTTTCAGCCAGGGTCCCATGTTTGGGAGCTGTCTGCTTGAGCCTCGCGGGCAGGTTCGCCCTTATTAGTTGAATTTGTTATGGCGGTAGGCCCGTTTGTAAATGACCAATAGTTGGAAACTCTGGACCATTCCAGGAGACTCCTTAGAGTAAAGGCGCGTCCGAAGGTCAATCATGAAAGGAAGCTAAATATAGCTCTTGAGAGCTGAGCTGAGCCATAATCAAAACTCGGGTAGATGAAGTTTAGTCAGGGACAATCCCAACAATAGATAAATGTGTGCGGCCGCCGTTTAAGATCTTGTCATTGGTTTGGGTGCACCATTTCAATACCAGCTTTTGACAATGACTCAGCTGAAGTTTGTGTTTACCTCAGCTTTGCTGAGAAGGTAGCAGTTTTGCTCTTTAGACGGCAGGGTGTTGCATGTGCCAAAGAAACCTCCAAACGATGAAATGCGGGGAGATCATTTGGGAGTTTGCGCATTTTTGGAGTTCCCACTTTCAACCGCAGGGTAAAGCAATCCGCCACCAACAGCGAATGCGAGTCAGAACTTTCTAGGACTGTTGTGGTATTTTACCTTGACGCTATTGGCGTTCAGGCCGTGCTGGTGATCTTGGCCATTCGGGGCCTGGGGAAAAACAAGGCGGTGATGAACCAAGTGCCCAGAGAGATGAAGCGTCCAGAGAGAGCGGTGATCTACCTGATGAAGGAAGTCACAAATGTTGTGCCTTCTGTGTCATGGTTAAGCACAGAGGCTCTGGACGTCGCGGAAAGCGCCCTTCTGGTGCACGAGACCTTCAACTTTGCACAAATGCTGCAGGGCGAGAACGTGCCTGCCAATCTTGCTGAACTCCACCAGCTTGTCCAAAAGAAGGGAGAGCATGTTTTCCACGTCTACATGCTGTTCCTGTTGGGCTTCATGAGTGGCATCGCAGGAGGTAAGGGCTCTCGATTCATGAACGCCAGGAATGCTGAGGCGGTGATCGCCGGTTTTTGCATGATAAAGCATATCCTCAATTGTCAGCCACGGGAGATCTACTGGGGTTATCTCACATCCCGCGCGAGATCTTTGCAGCTGCCCTCTGGGACGCCAGAGGATTTAGTCTTGATCCGCCTTGCATGCCTTAGCCGGGTACAGGACTGGGGTATTGAGTTCACACTACCCCGGCTACCCTCGAAAACGCGAAAAGGCCCAATAGTTATGTCATGTAAGCAAGGCGGTTTGTAATAGTTGAACAGCAAGCCTTCGGCACATCCTGAGCCTGCCTGTTTGTCCGAGGATTTAACAACCTACGCAGTTCTACGTGCTTCTTGGGAAGCATTGGGCGATCGCGAGAGGTCAGTTCTGGTGGACCACTTTTTGGCAGACGGCATTGAGAAGCGTGCCTTTGTCCTAGAGTTTCTGCCTGCCTGTGTGGCAAGTGCCAAGTCCAATCCTCTGCTAGGGTTGACCTTGCTCATGGAGGTTTTGGTAGAGCTCCTCACGAATTTGCAGCCTGCAGTATCAGCCAGCCCAGAAGTGTCCGACGTGATGATGCTTCCAGTTGACCTGATGGACATGAGCGAGTTCATTGCTGCGGTGCAGAACCGCTTTATCTTCCAAACCTGCGTGTCGCGATGCGCTTTCAGGTTCTCCATGGGCAGGGTGAATGTTGAAATGACTGGCGGAAATTGGGGTCGAAGCAACGACCCAGATACTGACCTGACCAGCTTGTCATATGAGCTCAAGGATTTGCTTGTGAACCAGCAGATGGCAAACCGGGTGTAGAAGTGAGCTAGAACGTGTCACCCAAGTGGCCCTAAGCGGCCCCAGCAAGACCCGGCCGGCTCGGGCCGGCAAAAACATGACCAGGGCTGTCATAAAGCCGCAACTCTCCAAGAGAGATGCCAACATGTTCGCACTGGCGAGTGAAGTTTGAGTGAAATGCAGACGTGATATGTTCAGCAAAAGCGTACAACTGTCAACAACCGTCCAACCAAAGGAGAACTTCAAAGAAATGCCTAAGCTGAGCCCACCGCCAGTGCAAGCGCAGGACGTGGCGTGCAATGGCCTTGCCTATGTTCATACAATTCACACTTGGATCCCAATAGCCCACCTTTCAACAGCTGTAGCGAATGCCTGGAAAAGATTCTGCATTGCATGGCGAGCTTTTGCTGCAAGAGAAGGTGGGTGTGATGAAGCCCGCATGCAAACCGCACTGCTGCCATGCCGTGTAACTTGAGGGTTGACCTTCAGGTCTTGCCGACTTAATGCAAGCACATGAATTGGCCCGAACAACGTCAAGCGTAAAGGGATTTCATCATCCTATATGAACAAGTCTTAAGCTTCGCTGTTGGCGATAATGGTATCGTCACCTTACAGTTGCCAGGCAGCGCCCAAAGAAGAAACGAAAGATGTCGGCGGGGAGCTTGGTGGATGTGTCTTATGTTTGGCTTCGTGTTATTGCCGCTCAGGATCAGCGAGCAGCTGATGAAGTGGCTGTTGCCTTGGAGCATGCGATGCCAAATCGTTTGCCAGCAATGTACCCAATCCCATTGACATTGCAAGCATGGCACTTGCCCGGCAAAGGTGGTGCTGCTTCGAGTTCTTCTTCATGGCAACGTGTTATTCTCGGAGGACCTTTTGTTTGTAATGGCGCCTGGGATTCCATTGGTTCTGGCAGCGCCCTGTGAGGATAGCATCGGGCAGTGAGTGATCCAAGTCCTGTCGAGCCATGCCTCGAACCTGTCGCACAAGGGGCTGAGACCACTCGTGTGACGCTGCTGTTGAACACGAGGCCAAGAAAAATGACCGACCCGCTTGTCTGGCGGCACGCATGTGAGAGAAACTACTTTGAGATGGGTCAACAATTTGTTTGCAGCCTCATGACTGAAATGTCACTAGAGAGGACATTCCCTTCTTTGAGCAGCTTTTCCTGCTTCCCGGGACGCAGGCAGGGACATGTTTTCTAGTGCTGTCACATGTTGGATAAGCATCGAGGTTTAGGAGGCCTTGGATGCTGGCTTGCCAGGCCAGAACTTATGAGGAGGCCGAAGCGCGTGATGCTGCGCAAGGCGCCCAGCTATGCCCATGGCAATCTTCGATTTTGATTTGGTCGGCCATTCAATTCGCTGGGCCATTGACACCTTGAGTGTGCCTAGCTCAGCACAAGGCTACAACTCTTCCGCGACCTTTGTCGAAAACATGGAGCCGCAGGGGCCCCTGGGACTTTGGAAGCGAGATGTCAAGTGGATTCAGCTGGCGTTTGCTCGGACTGTGAGGTCTACGACCTATGTCCATTGCTTCGGCCTGTGCGCAGAGATGGCCCAGAAAGCGGGCCGCAATCGCCATACCCTCAGCGTGATTGTGCTTGAAATCTTGGCGTGGCGCATGCTTTGTGCCTTTGACCACATGCATGAGGCCAACTCACGCAGTTTGCACCTCAGCTTTCGTGACCGAAACATGTGTTTGCATTGGATTGAAGTTGTAGGCAGTCGAAAGGTTTCTTGCAAAGCGACTCTGGCCACGAAAGGATGCCAGTCCTTTAGACAGAACCAGCATCCACGTATGCACGTGCACAGATTCCCATGATTTGGCGACCTTTTGCCTTAGCCCCAATGGGAGAAAATGGCAAAGCCTTTGAGGTGCTGGCCAAGGGCCCTGCCTTGCCTTCCGCTGTCCGTTTCGTAGCCCGGAGCCATAGCTGTTTTGGAAAAGGCTCCGGTGCGGCCGTGAAGCTTCTCCTTAGCTTTTCTCAGGATGCCGGCAACACGCTCGTGGAGCTTCGGGCCAACTTGCCGCCTGCTCAGAATGCAGCTCAAAAAGGCTGACGGCGGGATGAAACGAAGGCGAGCAGGCATGTGGGATGGATCCCATCCGTAGCAACATCTAGGGAAAGGCCAAGAGAATCCAATCTGGCCATGGAGAGGACCGAGCCTTTTGTGCGAGCGGTAGCAGCCCGCTCTGCCCAGCCAGAGGAGGAGGCACGGGTGCAATTTGCCTCGCCTGAGCCCCAAAACTGCGTCAACTAAAAAAGCAGATATTCACATAGACAGGACTGAGGCAGAATTTTCATACTCATGGCTTGACCAGGACACTGAGCCACTGCTTGCGGCAGACTTAGCGCGATTTGGGCTTTTGCCGTTTTACGTTGGAGCAGCGTGTGCACAAGTGAAGCGGAATGAACATGGGGCACCACAATGTACCCGGAAACAACGGGGCCCAGTTTGTAGCGATGGCCATGCAAGAAATGGTCATTCAAGTCATGGAGTGGGCCAGCACGTGCGGCAACCAACATGTGCCAAGCGTTGAGCCTGAGGCAGCGTGCCAGCAAGTGCGGCGGTACCATGTGGGCACGGTTTATCGGGAGGCTCGGGCCATCAACTTTTTTGCAGCACTTAGTACAATGGATTTGCAAGTGTGCTTCAGGCGCCCAGGTCTGAAGTCTATGCGCAATCGCAGCTGCCACCTCAAATGTACAAAATGATGGGTGAGATAGGGTGGAGCGAGCGGGGCGGGGCGGGGTGAGCTGGCGGTTTGGTTTGTTCATAGCACGCGTGCCCAGGTTTGGGCATCCGCGGGAGGTGTCTTCAGCCGTGGTGCAGTTCTTCTGGCGCGCCTGTCGTGTGGTCACCTGCGCATTCCTTGGAAGCCCCAGCCATGGTCAGGCGCTTGCCCAGTGCACCAAGCCAGGCCAGCGCTGTGTTGCGGTTCCACTGCCTGATTGTATCAGACGTGCTTTGCTAAGGATGGCTTGGCCGGAGATGGCTTTCGTGCAGCTCCCAGGTGCCAAAGCAAGGTGCGTTCTGATTCAACACGCTTGGGCCGAGTGTCAACTTGGCTCATCTTGGCTCAAGGGCTTAGATGAAAAGATCAGTGCATGAAGCACGCAGGCTGACACTGTCAGAATCCATCAATCTCGTTGTCAGCCGTCAAACCGGATTTTTGGCAGACCTACTCCGAAGCAAATGAGTGTTGCCTTCCGCGCGCATGGCTGACATCCTTCAAAGGTGTGAATTCATGTGCTTGGGGATGAAGTGCTGCTTGACTTTGGCAGCTTGGCTGAAGCGAGAACAGCGAGAACATCATGATTAGCAGCTTGCAGCGTTCCATGTTTTTGCCAACGTTGAGGCTCTTCTTTGGGCTGTCGAGGGCAAGACCGCGAGACCAGCGACAGCTGCTCGGCTGCGCAGTAGCATTTTCCCACACTTGGGCATGTATCCGCCGTTTTGCACAGACGGCCGTTTTGCAGGTGTCGCCAGGAGCCGCTCAGCTTGGACATGGCATGGTGCAAACAAGCTTTGCCTTGATGACCGTTCGATGCACAAACAGTGTTGCCTGTTGGTCAAGAAAGGAGGCACAAGCAGAAGTTGTTTCTCCCTTGACGTCTTGTGCTTGTTCTCGCTCCTTCTTGCCTGTGCTGCGCAAGGTTCTTGTGGTGCTTGCATGGCCCATGAACTCACATGTTCAGGCGCAATGGCATCCACTTTCAAAGTGAGTGGCTGGCGTGTGGGAACTGTTGAATGTAATATCTAGCTTGTTCAAAACCTAATCTCCAATGATTAGCGGATTGCGGATTGTTCGGTTTGCGGATTAGATTATGCAGCTTGCGGATTGTGGATTATGGGGTTGCGCGGATTGTCCATGCTCCAACGTACGGTTTTGACCCACAGTTTGCAGCGCGGATTACGGATTATGAAGATTACAAAAAAAAATAAGCGCATTGCGGATTGCGATTAGGCCCCCCAGGATTTTGATCAGCATAGAATATCTAAAACTGGCCCGTCAGGTTCACAACATCCGTTGCCAATAGGAGCAAAAGATTTCGGAGGTGGCAGCCCAGACTTGCCTGGGCATGGAAAGCCCATGCAGGACACAATCCGAAACAGCGGGAGGGCCATCAGGGCATGGCGGAACCACTGTCAATGTGTTCAACACTAAGTGTCCAGGAGCAGTAGCAGCAGCCAGCAGCAGCAGCAGCAGCCAGCGGCAGCCGCAGCAGCCAGCAGCAGGAGCAGCAGCAGCCAGCAGCAGCCAGCAGCCAGCAGCCAGCAGCAGCAGCCAGCAGCAGCAGCCAGCAGCAGCAGCCGCAGCAGCAGCCAGCAGCAGCAGCCAGCAGCAGCCAGCAACAATTTGCAGCGGTGTACACACCTGAGACCTCATACACTTAAGGGGCATGTCTTTCACTCTTATGAAGACCGCCGCTTGGATTTGCAATGAAAACATCCTGGGATAAGAGTTTTAATACGTTTTTTTTTTCCAGCTCACTTAATCTTTACTCGAGGGTTCTTGCTAGGCTGTCCTCAGATCAGTTTCGTGACCTGGAGGCTCAAAAGTCTGTGAGGGCGATCGCATGAAGAAGATCAAGGCATTGCACTAACGTTTTCACGAAAGCTAGCTTTAGCTAGCTGAAGTTTCTCCTTGCGTAAGCAAGGTAAGGGGCTCAAATGCCGAAAGATTGATTTTTTCAATTATTTGAGCCGAAAAGATTGAAAAACATCAATTATTTAGACCCCCCCCCCCCTCCCCCCCCCCCCCGGTCTCAGGCTCGATTCCTCCCTGGTCCATCCCCCCCCCCCGGGCAGTGGCTCAGTGTTCAGCAGTCTCGGTTTGCCCGTTTTGGACTTGGTGCTACGAACTTTTACATGTTCCACCGATTCAGCTTGTTCATTTGAGACCTCAGTCTTCTCGGTAAACCACCTCGCAAGAATCTGTGCACACGCAGCATGCAGAACCCAGAGGTGCTTTCAGACAGCTTCTGACGCCTCTCGTTGTTTTCATTTTTCAAGGTTTGCCACGCCACCATGTGCGTTTGCGTGTCGCATCCTACGAATCTTGCCGGGCCTCTCGTTGTACACAAGCTACCTATGAATCTACTCTGTCACCGACCCATCTCATGCAACAACTGCTAGCTTTCGTTCACCCGCTCCTCAAGTGATATTTTCTCGGCTTTTGCATGGCCCTAGTCTCTGGCGTCGGGCGTGGAGGCGTTGAGGTCAAAGCAACGGGAGGTGTGCAGTGCAAACATCGACTTGGGAATACCACCAATGCTTATCCGACCGTGGTGCGCAAGCACACGCAGCGTGAAAATCATACGCCTAAGACATCGTCATGCTCGACCGATTTTAGCGCGCTTTAAACACACGTCCAGTGAATTACTCATTTGTTTACAGCTTCCAGTGAACAAAAGTAGTGGGGGCGTGCAAGATGTTGCACAAGCGGGGCACAACACGGCGCAGTGTCATGCAGTCTCTCTGTAGGGATGCACACATGAATAGCTTTGCATTTAGCAGGATGGTAGGCTACGGCGCTAGGATTGGCACAAAGAGCATGTTGCCAGGAAATGGGATGTGGAGGTGTGCACTGATTCGATATGTATTCCTGGTTGAGTTGACAAGCCCATATTCATGTGAAGCTGCCAACCGGCAACAAGGGTAATTATGACGCCTTCTCTAGGGAATTGGCTGTTGACTTGGAAAAGTTGCTGAGACTACGCCCATCCACGCCACTGGTTGACAACTGTTGCAAAACGATTGATTGATGAAATCAGAATGTACGCTCTCATCAGTTTTCAGCGAATCTCAAGGCAAGAGTTGACAAGGCAAAGGAGGCTGCACAAGGAGTTGCATATTTTAAAGGGGCTCTAATGTTCAGCACAGCTTCCTTGCCGGCTAATCAAAGCTTGCAAATGTCAATTCGATGACACCTTGTAGGAAGGCGTGTGCCGCCAGCAGCCTGTATTCGTACTCCATAGAACCCAACATCTTGGTGAATGCTCATTCTATAAATGTATTTATTTTGCCTCATGAGGGGTCCTTGAAAGTAAAAGGTCAGCCCATTCTTAGGGCGAATCGAAATTCATGCTTGGCACCCTGCAGGAGGTGGGAACCAGCAAGCCCGTGGAGGTGCTGTCCACTCTTCCTGACTGGGCCACCTTCTACCAGAACTACATGCGGGCCAACCGACACTCGTTCATAAAGTGGAATTTCATGTTTGCCTCAGTGTGCCTTGCAGCGGCTGGCTTGTCGCCCACCGTCAGATGGGGTGTTCAGATTCTACGTTTGGCGACAGGCAGGCAGGAACGCTGCGGCACGTGGGAACATGCTGGTGCTCCCGTGCTGCACGATTTTCTCGGAGTGTGCAGCTGGGCCCGACAGCGGTTGGGTTTCCATGGGCCGCGCTGAGCACACAGACGCTCCGGGTGTCTCCGTGCTGCTGGTGTGCCTGTGGGACCGCTGTTGAGCACTTCGCCGGCTCAGCCAGTGGGGCATTCGAGCTAGTTGGGCCATTGGGCCACTTGCGACAGCTGAGCAAGCTTGGCCGCTCAAACCAGTTCAGCTGGCTGAAAGCCAGTGGAGCCAAGGTTGAGCCAGTGGAGCACATCTAGCCAGTTGAGCCATGTTGAGCGGTTCAGCCGATTTCGTAAGGCCAAGCAAGTCTAGCACAAGTTGAGAGTTGAGAGAGCCAGTTGCTGAGCCAGTTGAGCCACTGGAACTTGTCCATCCTCTGGAGCCAGTCAAGCCAGCCATGCCAATTGTTGAGCACCAATTGGGCCTTTCAGAAGTTGTTCGCCGTTCCCTAGTGATAGTGGTCCCTCACGCCACTATGTAAGGAGCCTCAGCTTCACATCTAGTTAGCCGGGCGGGGACGAAGTTGTATTGGTTCTGCTTGCCTGGTCTTTGCCGTGGGTACCGCAAAAGAATAGGCATAGGCCAGGATTTCCCAACTGTTCCCACGTACTGAACCACCCATGTTCAAACAACATCTTTTCATGATGGAACCCTCGGACTGGTTGAAACGGACATCGCCAAAGCCATCGGCTGTCTGAAATCAAGGACCGGTGGTTTTCAAGAACGCGGCCCGCACACAGCCGCGTGGATGAGTTTCAGATGTATCGCATCCGGGCAGTTCACATCTTGGCCTGGGTGACTTATGGGAACCGGTGTTTTTCTTTTGCTAGCCCCGGCTTGCTGGGGCTAGTGAAAAGCCGGGGCCAGTAAAAACAAAAACACCTCAACATGATGTATGTCGAAGGGTTCATGCCCCCTCCAAATAGTTGGTGTTCTCTCCGTACCCTCGTAGCACCGCCGACAAAGGAGGGGTTCCCTGTTATGTACGGCACTGAGGCGGGCATTCGAGAAATGGTCAGATGATTACCTGATTGGCCGGTGGGGGAAGCGCCGGGTGGTGGACATTGAGATAAAGAAGGCCTCACGTGTACACTCCTTCAGAATTTCAGCTGTTTAATTCTGGCCGCAGTAGGTTGAAGAGCGGGGTGGTCCTACCGTGCAATGGCCATTCGAAAAGTTTGCGCGCGAGATATACAAGGACAGCATCACATGGACACAAAGTCATGCAGAGTCATGCATGCTCACCTGAAGTAGTCACATGCTGATGCATGGAACCTTTCCTTAATGTTGTTTTTCCTCCACGGAGTGTTGGCAGGAGGAGCGGAAGGATGAACTATATGTCGCCCACTTAGTCCATTGACATTTTGCACTTGCGCCAAGGTCAAGCTATATAGGGGTGGCCTTTGAATAGGCACATGAGTACTCCTCGGCCACAGCGTTGCGTGGGGTGATATGCGGTGATGGGTTCCACCATGCCACCCTGGAACCTGCTTCAAGACTTGTTGAACGTGACCAATTTCTAGCATCGCTTTGCTTAGGTTTAATTTGATGCATGGTGGACATTTGGTTCTTTTCTGCATAGAAATGCGTAGACCTGCACAGATGTGACTGCCCTGCATTGCGAACGCCGGTTCTCATTCCAACAGCTACCGGTTCAAGAGTTGCCAAAACCCCGGCGTGCCTACGAGTATCCCTGATCCGAGAAATGAACCAAAGGAAATGGCTTTAGGTTCTAAGCTATTCTAGGCATGTGCCGAAGTAGAAGGCTGCGTCACTAGCAGCATGCCTCCATTGCACGAGGCAGTCATTGGCTTGGAGGATGATGAGGTGCTGGCAGACGTGGACTTTCCAGAGCCAGCGAGGTGTGAGGAGGCCCGGATCCGACTTGTGAGGCACAAGCCTTCGGTCGCGAATTTATCCCCCCCTTCACAGGCATCGCTTGTGCGAATGCCCCGCTCATGTTGAGCCACACCGGCCCTGAGGTTTGGCCACAGTCAGTCACCCTGTGGATGAGCAATGGTGGCACTATGTCTGTGCTTCGGACTCACATTCAGAAAGTGGCGCGGCACTTGTTGGGGTAGCAGGCCAAGCCACAGGAGTTTTGAGGTGAGGGCTGGGAGAATTTGACCTGGCCGGGAGCCTTCCGACTTGGAGTGATGGTGCTGGTTTAAGGTTTGCTTGTGGGCCGAGGCCCGCCTACAAAATGGTCAAGTATTCAATTCATATTGGGCAATGAGGACGGTCGGTACTTGCACAATGGAGACAATGGCAAATACTGGAGACATGTTTACATATGTATAGACATATATATATATATGTGTGTGTGGGTATATGTATATCCATATATCTAGTGAATGCCTCTCAGGTGCTACACAACGACGATGGCGAGAATTTCTTGATGCTCTTGGACGGCTACAAGAGCGCCACTCCTCTTGCACAGTTGGAACAGGAGTTGTGGACTGCTCGGCGCTTCAGCATAGGTCATGCTGGTGCACCAGGATGATGCGCCGAAGATCTACGCCGACGTTGCAAAGGCAGGCGCCCACGCGCCTGTGGCTTGGAGCTCTGCCGTCTGAGGTTCGAGGCACATCTCCAGTGCGGCAGGATCCGTTTGGAGTTTCCGCCGGTGTGACCCACGGCCCTTGTTCCGAGGCTTCGGCCCCCGTCCTTAACAGGGATAATGGGGATTGCTTGTAGGTTCTGATTGGCTTGTGCAGCCAGGACTCGGTTGATTTGGTTGCATTCCCGCGGTTTGCGAACATCTCCTGGCTGCATGGGGAGCTTGAGCCTGGGGACACGCTCTTCATTCCGCACACATATTGGCACCAGGCGTTGGCATCCCAGATGGGCCTGGGTTAAAATGAGGGATTCTTCTTTGAGTCCAAAGGGGATCCGAAAGGAAAGCAACTAATTACAAGTGCCCACAGAGTTCCACTTGTGAATCTTCAAGCTTTTGATAGCTCCTTGTCATCGAGCACGGCGGCAACTTGCACAGGTCAACTCCAGGGGCCGCAACCTGGGAGTGAATATTTGGACTCTCGGTGGCAACTAAGGGGGGGCCGGGCACGTGCAGTTTGTCCTGGCAGCACGCACGGGCAAAACAGGGCAGCTCATAGGCACGTGCTTGTACTGCATAGGAGACCTTGTTTAGAGCTTGCGGATGCGGCAACCACAGAGGGAGGGAGGCCCGCTCTTTGTGCACAGCATGAGTCCGAGGTGGAGTCATAAAGAGGATTGGCAATGGTGGGATTTGAAAACGCCACTGGGCCAGGACTACTTGGCGCAAGCATTTGGCATGTGCGGGTCAGATGACAGAGGTATGATGCGCCACGTTTTGGCATGGACTCCATGCCACCGTTCAATGAGCTCACCGGGCTGCAGTTGATGAGCGTTGGAGCTGTGGCATCATCACCGCCCCCACAGCCATGTGTACATGCCACTTGCAGTTGGGAGCCTTCACAGCGGCCTTGCAGTTGAATCAGGTTCAAGGCCAAAGCTGCCACGAATGCAACCTGCAGCTTGCCTTCCACTGCTGCAGCACGTTTAAACCAGTTGCCAATCGCTCCCCCTACTAGCAAATCCACCCCCATTAATAAATACTATTTGAAAGGCCAAATTCCAAGAAAAGACTTCCCCCCTGTACTTTTAAGTGACCCAATACTAGTCTAAACCAATACGGTTCTTCCAGCAGTTCCCTTGCCAGTTTAATTGTAAACGCAGAATGTAAGTTGTAATTGTAAACGCTGCGCGTTGCCCGCCTTGGCCCAGCCGAGCGCGCAGCGTCTGTGGGTCGACTGCAAGCAGCAGAGCTGGTCAAGTGGCGATTCAGGCATGGACAGGTTCTGGCGTCGTTGGACCAATTGATGTCTTGGGCGCGCAGGACCCCCCGAGGCAAGGGCAAGGCGATGCACATGACCAGGTCATGGAGCCAGCAGAGAGGGCGAGGAGGGCCTGGGCTGGCTTGTCTCAGACATGTGAGTCTGGTTTCTGGGCTGCCTGGGGCCTGGGCTGGGCTGTTGGACGCCGACGAACCCCTGAAAATTTTAATCTCCCAATTTGAACGGAGAAAACCACAAAAGTGCATTGAGCAGTGTCATCAAAACGACACGCTCCTTACTCGGCAGATTGATGTTTGTGCCCGGCAAAGGGGCGGACGAGGACCGAAGTGGAAACCCCCCGCGACGCTCTAACACCCTATTTGCAAATTTGTGTTTGCAAAAAAGAAGAATGCCAATAGGCAGGAACGGATTTAGTAGTAGCGGGAAGCGATTACACCAGCTGAGGCACGCCGTTGCCAGCAGATCGACACATGGGTGAAACACAGCTAGTGGATGAAGGGCGAACAAAGGCTGCCTGGCAGAATGGCAATGAGTTGTTACAAGCGCAATGCAGCTTGACAAGAATGCGTTGCTCTTGTGAGCAGCTGGCTAGGAGATCATTCGGAAGAAGCGCGCTAGGCACGAAGCTCGCCTGCATGTGATCATCAAAGGCTGAACCATGATGCGTGATTCATGTTAGTTTACAGCGACACCAGGCAAAGGGCAAGCGGCAGACGGCTCAGCGTCCTCAAGGAGGTGAACTCTGAAGGGAGAGCTCAATGTGTAGAAGGAATGCCACCAGAAGCGGAACAAGAGCTTCGCCGTGACCGTCAGGGCCAACATCAGCTCGTGATCAAAGCCAGCACCGTGCCGCGAAGACCATGGCCAGGAATGCCGCAAATGAATCCCGCGAGCTGAAAGAGCTGAGCGACGGTGAAAGACACCAGTTCGCCAAGATTGTTTATTGCATGTGCGTGTGTGTTGTCCCATTCCTGCCAAGGCTCAGAGGCGCCCGGGCGAGTGGTGCAGCGAAGGGCGGCCTACATGCAGGAGGCCGAAGGGCCTGCTTCGCTAGACATTTGTGAAGGCTTTACACAAGACTCATGACTTAGGCAGCTGGGCGCCATGGACAGGTCTACCCTCCCATGACCATGAGTTTCACAGCGACCCTTCAAGAGGTGTTCAGTACTCACAAGGCTTGAGCTTTGCCCCTGGAACAGGCAGAGCTGTTGCACACCTTGGCAGAGCTTTTCCACAGCACCAACCTTGCCGGCCCGCAACCCCAGCAACAACGCACCAGGCCATCCTTTGTTGGCATTCGACATGTCACCCATGCCTGCAGTACCGGAATCCATGTCAATGTGTTTGTGACGCGGCAGAAAACCACGTTTGTGGATGTCTTTTGTATGTCGCAGCTACTTGCTTCACGCAAGAAATCACAAGAAGCAAGCAGCAGGGTAATCATTCCAATGGTTCTTCAACTCCTCAGCTCAAAGGGGATTGTGTCAGAGAAGTGCTCCGAAACCAGAGAAACAAACCATAGATCTCTTCCCGAGCCAGAGGTTCAATTGCTGGGGTCTCCCTTTACCAACAAAGAATTCATTGAACCTAGCCATGGCTTTTGCCATGCATTCATTCTCAGGTCACGTGGAGCTACATCTTTCAGATACTCGGCTGCTCCGCTTGCTTCTGGAGGCGTGTGTCTCTGTTTTCTCTGTGTGTGTCTGCGCGCGCATGTGTGTGTGTGGGTGGGTGGGTGTGGGTGTGCGCGTGCGTGCGTGCGTGCGTGCGTGCGTGCGTGCGTGCGTCCGTGCGTGCGTGCGTGGGCGTGGGCGTGGGCGTGGGCGTGGGCGTGGGCGTGGGCGTGGGCGTGGGCGTGGGCGTGGGTGGGTGGGTGGGTGGGTGGGTGGGTGGGTGCGTGTATGTGTGTGTGTTTGTGGTGTCGCTGTGTGTTCGTGCACTTATGTATGTGTGTGTGTGTGCATGGCTGCGTTTGTGACTGCGTTTGTGTTTCAAGGTGCCTGCCACAGCCGCTGCACAAGCGCATTCTTGCACAAGCGCAAGCATGTGTGCATGCGCAGGAGCACGCCCGTTAATTTGTGTTTTTGTTTCTGTGTGTGTGTGTGAGTGTATGTGTTTGTGTGTCTATGCGTTTGTGTGTGTATGTGTGTGTACGTGTGTTTGTGTCAGTGTCTGTGTGTGTGCGTGTGGCTGTGTCAGTCAGTCAGTGTTTGTGTTTGTGTGTAGTTATTGAGTTTAGTGTGCACGCTTGTGTTTTGTATGTGCAAGCGCGTGCAAGTGCAGGTGCCTGTGCATGTGTATATTCATGCGCGTGCGTGTCTGGGTGGGTGGGTTTGTGCGTTCTTGCATTCGCTCGCGCTTGCGCGTGGTTGAGTGTGCATGTGTGTGCGTGGTACTACGAATTAAGCTGCTTCTTGTGTTGTTTTGTGTGTTTGGTCACGTGGTTGTGTTTGTGTTCGTTAAAAAACGGTGTTTGTGTTTGTGCATGTGATTGAATGCGTGTCTGCGCGTGTTTGTGGTTGTGTTTGCGTTGGTATGCATATGTGCCTATATGCGGCGTATGCGTGGTTGTATGCGCATGAGGTTGTTTTTTCGCCATGAATAGCTGGCGATTCCTTGGTTCCGGGAAGCGAGTTTAAGTACTTAGTCGACATGGGTGTGTGTGTGAGTGCGTGCGTGCGCGAGCAAGCGGGTGTGGCGTATTTGCGTGTGCATTTGTGTGTGTGTGTTGGTGTGTGTGTGTGTTTCTGTGTGCGTGTGTCTGTGTGTGTGTGGGTGTGGGTGTGCGTGTGCGTGTGCGTGTGCGCGT